AACCGAAATTCAATATTTAGCTGATCATTTAGGTTGTGCTTTTGAGCACCTTCCCTCCTATGTGTGCCTTCCCCTCTATTTAGGTAAAACCTAAGAAACATCTTAGGGACAATATCTTACAAAAGTTCTCTTGGAAGTTGGCAAACTGGAAAGGTAGGTTCTTGTCTCTTGGAGTTAGGATCACCCTCGTCAAAGCTGCGTCGCCAGCATTCCTATATACCAGATGTCTCTCTTCAGGGTACCCTACTTTTTTGCCATTCGTTTAGAGATAATCATGAGGAATTTCCTTTGGAATGGGGAATACGAAGGGCATAAATTTCACCATATTGCTTGGAATACAATCTGCACCCCCAAAAAGTGTGGTGGTCTGGGCATCAGGAAGTTAACCCTCATGAAATCTGCCCTTTCAGGTAAATGGTGGTGCAGATTGACGTCCCCACACCCTTTCCTTTTGAAACATGTCATTTCAGCTAAATTTGGCATTTAAGAGGATGGGTGGCGTCCCTATTCCCCTTTGCACCGTGCCTCTGGTGCTTGGAAGTCTATATCCTCCTCCAAGATTGCTTTTAATACGTTCCTCTGATTTAAAATAGGGGATGGGTCTAGAGATAAATTTTGGAAAGATTTGTGGATCGGAGATCAACCTCTAGGACAACTCTTCCTCTCTTTCTCCTTGCTAGTGATCAGGGTGCTACTGTGGCCACATATGTGGAACGCATGGGCTTTTCTTTGATCTTGACTCCTATTTTCATAAGAAATTTGATCGACTCTGAGATTAGCTCTCTTAATTCCCTCCTCTCCCCATTCTTCTCTTCCTTAACCTATGAAGATTCTATAATAGGGGCTCCCAACCCATCTGGCGTCTTCAGTGTATCCTCATTCTACTCTTCCCTCCTTCCCCCTTTGCACCTCTCTCCTCTCCTTAACAAAGTTTGGGCCATTCCCGTCCCTCTTAAGGTCCAAGCTTTTACTTGGATTCTTATCCATGGCAAAGTCCTGACTCTAGATCAACTTCAAAGTGTGGCTTTGGGCTGCCCAACTGCTGCAGTCTCTTTTTAATGGTGAGGAAAACATTCCTCACCTCTTCCTCCATTGTGAGATGGCTTCCTCCTTGTGGTCCTCCCTCATCCAACTCCTTGGCCTACAATGGGGCACCCCTGCCTCTCTTCCCCAACTCTTCTCAACAATGTTTGGGCTTCCATCCCCTAGAAGTGGTCGCAGGTTATGGCGCATCTCTATACTGGCTCTGCTTTGGTTTGTTGGTTAGGACCTCTGGAATCTTCAGGTGAACTGCTGGAAACATTTCCACTGTCTTTGAATCCATTTGGCCTTGATCTCCTTCAGGGCCAAGGCTATTCCTGTTTACAAATCTCCCTCTTTAACCAATTTTCGGGCTACCTGGGGTTGCCTTCTTTCCCTCTCCTCTCCCCCACCTACTTTTAGGGCTGCTTGGAGTCCTCCTCCAGTTGGTTTCTTTAAAGTCAACACTGATGGCTCTTCCCTTGTAATCCTGGATCCTCGGTTTTTGGTGACACTCTTGCCAATAGCGAAGGAGTTCTCCTCTCCTTCTCAGGTCACCTGGGAACTCTTGACTCTACCACAGCGGAAGCCCTGGCTTTACTTGAAGGTCCAAAGAGAGCATCTCAAATGGTGCACCAATTCGCAGGGATCTTATTAGAGGCTGAATCTAACAACACTAATCCTTTGGGCCTCAAAACTTAGCCAGCCCCCGTGGCGCTTGGCACCCATCTTTGACCAGATTTCTGTCATTTGCAATTCCTTACCACTTTTCAGGCACATTTGCAGAGAAGCTAATGCATCAACAGATAGGCTTGCTAAAGATGCGGCACTCGCACCTCCAGGTTCTAGCTCCAATTCTCCCCAACTCTTTTCTTTTCTCTTTGCTTCATCTCCCCTTCTTTGTTCTCTCTCCTCTCCTCTCCAAGTCGTCCTTCTCTCGGTTACTATACCACCGGAAAAACAAAGAGAAGGAAAAGAAAAAAAAATAAAAAAAAGAGAAGAAAAAGAAGAATTTTTTTTCCTGTAAACAGGAAAAAGGAATGTTAAGTCAGCAATATGGTTTTATCAGTTTCTGCCCTCTTACAGTCTCATGTCATGCTCTCTCTCCCCTATCTTCTCCTTTATCTCCCACTTCGACCCCTCGTTTTTTCTCACCTGTCTGCCCCTTTTCCCTCTCTAAGGCACTTCTGTTGACCCTAACCCTCTCCTCGGTGCTCTCTTGTATTCCTTTTCTTCGCTTCCTTCCTCTTTGCTCTTCCTATTCTTCTTCCTCTGCTCTCGCTTCTCTTTTTTTCTTTACCCTATTCTCTTCCTACTAATTCTCTCTTCACTTTCTCCCCCTACTCTTGTTCCTCTTCCTTTTATTCTCATTTGCTCACCTCTATACCCAGCACCACAGGCAGGAAGTGCAGCCCACTTTTGAATTGCAGGTACAGGCTTCGAGGCATTCGATAGTATGGCGGCCCCAAAGCCCTTTCCCGCAACTTGGCTCATCAACTGCTGCTACCCTGCTCTTATCTTCTCCTCTCAAACTTCTCCCTCCCCTTTGCTCTAGCCATTTATCACTGTACTCTCTCTCCCTCGGCCGCCCCATTCTTGGATTTCCAGCATAGGAGCACCTTTTCCCCTTCCTCATGGGAGCCCTGGCACTTTCCAATCTCTGCATTAGGATTTTGGCCCAAGTTTTATAATTATTTTTTTGATTCTGAGCACATTTCTTTTTTCCCTATGTTTTTGTACTTTGAGCACTTGCTTGTGGGATGCCTTCTACATATTTACAAATTTTTGTACAATTATATTATATTAATATAAATTTTACTCTTCTCAAAAAAATAATTCAAATTTGAATATATTGTCATTTAAGGCTTACAACTGTTGGAGGTAGAGCTTATGGCTTTAAAGTTGGAGGTCATGAGTTGACCTCTTGTTTGGCCCATTTTTCGCTTCATAAAATGGGAACTCCGTGTTTGGAGTTTCCAACCTTTTTTATAATGACATGCCATAACTGTCTGTATGTGTCGCATCATGTCGACACATGAAAACTTGTCGACTTGTGAAGCTTGGGAAATTTTGGGGGGGCTAGGTAACATAGCTTTTCCCGAATGCTGTTAAGGACGATATCCCTCTCCTTTGGTGGACAGCATTATGGGATTTACATAAGGGGAACATTCTCCATATATATATATATATATATATATATATAATTAAAAAAGTACAACATAAGAGGGACAAATTAAATTAAACTTTGACACGGCTGTTCTCTCGGAAACCCTGGCCATGCAGGTATTGGCGACCTGTTTCGTGACCATGATAGCAACATTCTATGCTCTTTCTCCATCCCTATTGGCATCTCTGACACTATTGTTGCGCAAGCTTCAGCCCTTCGGGAAGGACTCAGAAAATTCGGCCATGCTTGGGGTTATTCCCTAACCATTGATGATGATTCTTTCTGCTTGATTTCCTGGGCCTCAGGCTCAGCTCCCGGCTTTAGAGGCTTGACAACATTTTTGAGAAAATTTCCCATCTCAGTAGGACTCCACTTATCTCGTGGGGTCACATTTGGAGAGAAGCAAATGGTGACGCTGATTCCTTAGCTAAGGCGGCCGCAACCATATCTCAAGCCAATCTAATTAACTCATAGGGAACTGTTTTTTTGCTTGGTCTCCCTATCTTAGTATGGCATCACTCTCGTTTATGGTTTCCAATGAGCTATGTAAGGCATTTTTTGGGCTATCTGTGCATTTTGTATGAGGCACCCGTATGGCATCGCTCTCGTTTATGGTTTCCAATCAGCTATGTAAAGCATTTTTTGGGCTATCTGTGCATTTTGTATGAGGCACCCGTTCTGTGGGTAGCCTATGTATTGGGTGGAAGCCGTATGTGGGTGTCCAGTCCCTCTCCTAGTCTTCCTTTTGTACTTACGTTTTGCTTAATAGAGTTAACATATTCAAAAAAAGAAAAAAAGTGCAATATGCATATTCTAGATCAAATCTGAAGAGATCTTGACTATCAAAGTCCTTTCTGTAGTCCAAGTCCATTATTAAGTTCCATTGAAGCAACAGTACAATCCAGATCATGGGAGTATTTGAATACCCTTGTCAAAGTTTTCTTGCGATGTTTGGGAGCTATGTAACTTGGATTCTTCTCTTTGAGATTTGTATTAGGTTGATTTCATATAGATAACCATGCATATACAATTTTTCTAGATTTCTTTGTTTACTTTGGTAATGAAGCATTTACTATATCTGGATATAAACTCAATCCTATATCTTGTTTCAAGTTGACATAATTGAATGTTGAAAATTCATATATGTTAGATACCTTGATGGCAACTAAACCATAATTGGTTTTGTTTCGCTTTGAGCAATTCTGCGGCACTTAAGCCAAATACTTTCTTACGCATGAAGTGGAATATCGGTGAATAGGGTTGGATTTTGTTGTCTTTCCAGAGCGACCATGTTAAATTTCCACTCTGTCATATGGCTCTATGTTGATTTTTTATATGCAGTCATACATAACTATATAGACTTATGTATAATATTTTTAAAAATATAGTGTTATACTGGGTATGGTAGCACCTAGGTGGCCGGAGAGTTTTAGACAATGTGTTTTTCTACTATTATTTATTCAATCTTCTACAAGGCTGTATTCTACTTCATTATAAATTAAAGTTGATGTATATACTTCTTCAAAGTTCAAGATCTGAATTTTGTGAAATGCATGAGAAAACAAACTTGAAAACTTGGTCATTTCAGGACTGCACTAACAAGGTGTTGTTCCATGAGTCTGCCAGAAAGCTATAGTGGTTGTGTTTTATTGATTTTTTCTTTGCTTCTTGATTAATAACTTGATTTTGATGTTTTCTGTTTTAGAGATTATTTCCAATTGTCTTTTTAATTCTTATATGTTCATTTTTAATTTTCTCTTCCTTTGTTGTAATGAGATATCAAAAGTATTGATCTCATTCCACTGTATTTCAGGGCTGGAAATTGTCGGATATGATGTTTGTCACAAGACGTGGCTTTTCAGATGCTTGCTCAACTGTAGGAAAGCAACTTGACCGAGTTTCATTTTCTATCAAGGCAAGGTTTCCCTCCTTATTCTTTTATGTTCTTTTTAATTGTGAAAAACCTCCCTTTTTTTTGAAAAGCTTCTATCCTGGCAAGTGATTTTTCTCACTAGATCTTTACTGTGATCGTGTTCCTTGATCTCAAAAAAAATTATTTAATGTTTTTGCAGATATTACCTTTTTTTCGAAATTGTTTTTGTAGATATTACTTTCATGTACCTTGGCTTGAAGTTTTTAATTTTATTGAAAGTTTGTCTTGTATGTATCTGTTCCCATTTATATTAGTGTTGTATTGAGGTATGAAAAAGATCCAAATATTACAAAGATCATTGTTTGAGCCGTATCCCAACTGTTTGTTGTCGGCTACACGAATCTTGTTCCATCATTACGCTCTATAAGGGTCATACCCTCAATTAGACTATAAGTCACCATATCTCTTGTCACTATTTCCATCCATGTCCTCTTGGGGCTTTACATTGCCCTTTTAGAGCCTTCTATTTGAACCATATTGCCCCTCCTAATCGGTGCTGTTCTAGGTTGACGCTGCACATAACCCGCCTATCTAAGTAATACTTTTTCTCATCTTCTCACCTATTGGAGGTACCCCTAAGTTCCCTCAGATGTATTTATTTTGAATTTTATCCTTGTCTTGCCACTCATCATTCTCAATATCCTCATCTTAGCTACACTCATTCTACAGATATGATGTTTCTGGACCGCCGAACACTCATCCCGTAGAGCATGGCTGGTCTTGCAGCCATCGTATAGAACTTCCCCTTGAGATCCAAACTTTATGAAGATATTGAACATAAAATCTTTGTTAAATCAAAGGTTTTGAGCATGGTTTTTTTATTGTATTTCCACATGTAATTGTTTCTTGTAAAATATAAAATTTCTAGGGAGATAATGGCATAGATTGTTCTTGTAAAAAATGATTTGTTGCAATAATAATGTAATGATAATTTTTAGAAAAAAATTATGGTATAAATTTTAGGGAAAATTTCGTATAGAACCTTAATTCCTCATATTATTTCATGGTAGACCCTCTTTTTGTTTTTTTTTCAAGTGGCATAAGGAAACCCCTAAAGATTTCACCATACCCCCTCATTTCTTATCTCCCTCTTTTATTGACTTTTGATCATAAAAATTAACAAAAAAAATCTTTTTATACCATTTCAACCCAAAAACTTTCTTAATGGATGGAAAGGGAAAAAGAGGGTTAAAAAAGTTTTTGGGAGGGAGATAAGAGATGAGGGGGTACGGTGAAATCTTTAGGGGTTTCTTTATGCCGCTTGAAAGAAAAACGGCATGAGGGTCTACCATGAAATAATATGAGGAATTAGGGTTCTATATGAATTTTTCCTTAAATTTTATGAATAGAGTTTGAAAGAAAAATAACTGCCTTCTAGCTTAGGACTACATGGTTGTTTTGTCTCATGGTGTCTGAATTAGCAGTTGGCGGTCCATGCCTCTCAGGGACTCAAGTAATTCATAATGCATACTGTTAGTATGCACTTTCTGTTTGCTTAAAGAGGTTCTTGTTACCTGCCAAAAAGGAAGTGATTAAATTAAATGCTGGAAGAGATGTAATGGAAGTGTATTATAGTCCAATGGAGTTTGGAAAACCACCCTACATTAGGGGTCATGATTGTCCATTGAAATGATGGATTGTGGAACCCACCCAATAGAGCCCCTCCCTCCTCTCTCTAGTGTTGCAATGTCAATTATCCATTATTTCATCATGCGGAGATGACCTGGATGGGTTATGATCAGTGTTCAAGAAAACACAGGCGCCCACTTAGGCATTTTGGGTGCCTGGCCGCTGCCCGCCCAGGAACAGGGTACCCTCACAATCCACATAAATATTGAACTCCCCACCCACCTAAACCAAAATAACAAAGGAGTTCTTAGGACAAAGTTTTAAGCCTTTATCGAGTATCAATCAATCAAAATCACCTAATCAACAAACCTGTAAAATACATAAGATTAAAGGATTAAGCCATTACCTATTAAGAAAAACATAAGAAAACTCAATTTAAGATTTTAATGTGGTCCGTTGGTCCCACGAGAGGAGCTCCTCGTGTTCTATCACCCAAGAAATGAGGGATTTCTCAGATTTTATAAACCGTAATCAGCTGATTGATATCCTTCTTCAAGGCTGCAATTACAGTTGGTCCAACCATTGCTCTAACCCCATTCTCTCTAAACTCGATAGGTTCTTGATTTCAGCAAATTGGGAGGAACTTTTCCCTAGATCGCTATCTTTGGCCCTATCCAAACCTACTTTGGACCACTGTCCCATCCTTCTCGACATGAATGCTATAAATAGGGGCCCCCACCCTTCCGTTTCGAACTGCATTGGCTTCTTGAGAAGGACCTCCCAACCCTTGTTAAATCCTGTGTAAAATCTTGGTGGACATCCTTCGATTCTCAGGTCTCGGGGAGAGCGGGATTTATCCTTCAAAGGAAAATTCAGCTTCTCAAAGGAGCTCTCAAATCTTGGAGCAGAGCCATCCTTGGGAACTTCGCGCAAGTAAAGTCCTCTTTATTGGATACCATCAAGAACCTTGATGAAATTGAAGAGATCAGACCCTTAGACGTCTCTGAACAAGATCTTAAGTCTAAGACTAAGATGGAGTATCTCGCCACCCTAAAAAAAGAAGAAATCTTTTGGTTTCAGAGATCTAGAGTTTCGTGGTTGAAAGTAGGGGATCATAACACTGGCTTTTTTCATTGGATAGCCAACTGTCATCACAAAGACAACGCTATCACGACGATAAAAATTAACAATTCTTACCTAGCCAAGCTGGTGATATTCATCAAGCCATCCTACAGTTTTTTCAGAACTTATACTTTGCTCCCCCTGAACCCAGTCCCAGATTCTCGACCTTAGACTTCCTTACTCTCAATGAAGGCCAAGCAGCTTGGCTAGAGCGACCTTTTTCTGAACCTGAGATTCTTAAAGCGGTCAAAGCTCTAGCAAGTGACAAGTCCCCTGGGCCTGATGGCTTCCCGATTGCCCCCTTCAAGGAGTATTGGGACGTAGTCAGCCAGGACTTCGTCAAATTTTTCGAGGAATTCTTCCATAGGGGAATTTTAAATAAAGCCATGAATGCCACTTTCCTAGCCCTGGTGCCCAAAAAAGGAGTTGAGGAAATTAAAGACTTTCGGCCTATCAGTCTCCTCAACTCCTACAAGATCCTGGCAAAGGTTTTAGCGTCAAGACTGCAGCATGTTTTGCCTTCCATCATCTCTAACTCACAATCTGCCTTTATCAAAGGTAGACAAATTCTGGATGGGGCCCTTGTGGCCCACGAAATGCATCCATTCGAGACACATTTTAAAACAGCCAGGCCTCATCTTCAAAATTGACTGGGAGAAGGCATATGACCATGTGGATTGGTCAGTTTTGGATACGACTATGGCTAGAATGGGTTTTGGAGAGAGATGGAGGAAATGGATGAGGGGCTGCTATTCGAACCCTCACTTTTCCATCCTCATGTATGCTACTTCCCCTCTTCTAGGGGTCTCAGACAAGGAGACCCCCTTTCCCCCTTCCTATTCGACATAATGGCTGAAGTCTTTAGCCGTTCCATTGCTCGGGTCTCTACCAAGCAGGCCTTATTACAGGTTTCAAAACTAGTAGACAGGGGTCCACTATCACCCACCTACAGTACGCGGACGACACTTTAGTCTTACTGGAAGCTACTGCTACTGAGGCAAAAACTCTTAAAACATTCCTCATATGTTTCCAATCAGCTACTGGGTTCAAGATTAACATGGAAAAATATTGTATGCTGGGGGTGGCTTTGTCACTTGGTGAGATTAGGGATCTCATTCCAGATTGGGAATGTAAAGCCCAAAACCTGCTTACAACCTACCTGGGCCTTCCCTTGGCTGTTGGTAAACCAAGAAAGCATCTTTGGTCCCCAGTACTGGACAAGGTCGATCGAAGCGTGGCAGGGTGGAAGGGTAGATACCTTTCCTTTACAGGAAGAACTACCTTGATAAAAGCTACTATAGCGAACTCCCCAATCTACCTCATGTCCCTTTACCATATGCCTACTTAGGTGGCGAACCGCTTGAATCAGTTCATGAGGAATTTCCTTTGGTTTGGGCAGGAAGACAAGAGGAGATACCACCTGGTTGCCTGGAACAAGGTTTGCCAACCAAAAGAGTAGGGAGGTCTAGGGATAAAGGTATTGCACAAGCACAATGCAGCGCTGCTCGGGAAATGGTGGTGGCGCTTAGCCACTCAACCGAACGCCCTTTTGGCGCAAGTCTTAAAACACAAGTATAAGATTCCATCTGAAAATTGGCTCCCTGGAAGAGCTCAAGTCCATAATACCTCAGGGGATGGAAGTCGCTCTTAACAGTCCTGTCCTCTTTCAAGAGACACATTAGGTTCCACCCGAGAGAAGGGTTGAGAGTTAAATTTTGGCATGATTATGACTAGGGACTTCCCCTCTTCGTGAGGCCTTCCCAACTCTCTTCTCTCTTGCACGTAACCAAGATTCTTCTGTGGCCCAGGAGCTCAGCAGCTTGGAAGGTCACATAGTTTGGAATCCTTCCTTTAGAAGGAGCCTAAACGAAGTTGAGACGGCTGATTTCCAGCGACTTTTGAACTCCCAGCACCCTCTCTTCTTCTTTTCACAAGGAAGTAATGAAATCATTTGGACCTTAACCCCCTTGGGCAAATTCTCAGTGGCTTCACTCTACAAAAACCTCTCCTCCTTCCTCTCCCCATCCGAACACTTCTCTGGAATTTGGTCCACTATTGCACCACCCAAAGTACAGGCCTTCAACTGGCTCGCCTTCTCACAAAAAGGCCTCACAGTTGATGAACTACAAAGAAGAGGGGCGCCCATTCCGAATAGGTGCGTTTTGTGTGAATGCGAGGAGGAAACAAACTCCCACTTGTTCCTTCTACGTGCCTTCTCTTCAGACTTTTGGGGCAGGGTATTACAACTTTTTGGCTTACAATGGGTTACCCCACCCTCGGTAAAAGCCCTC